TAATTTTGTTGTGATAGTATGTCCTTTTAGCAGTGGAGGCATTAGCAGAGAATGAAGAGAGGAGTGATTGATATACATTAAGGTCAGTATGATTTTGTGATTTGCCCCATACTCTTTCTGCAGCTCTGAGCTTAGAATGATACTCACGGAGAACATCAGATAGCCAAGGGACAGAAGAGGTGGTATGAGCTGGCCTGGAAGACAAGGGGCAGACAGTGTCTAAACAAGACGTTAGAGTGGAGCAGAAGCATTCAGTAGCACTGTTAACATCAAGAGATGATAACTGTTCAGGGAAAGGAAGCAAAGATGAAACCATAGCAGATAGCCGGGAGGGTGAGAGAGAGCGTAGGTTACGTCGAAAAGTGACATGTGTAGGGGTATGTTGTGTCAGGAACCATGTTGAGGTTAAATATATCTAAAATACATAAAATACAATACATCTAAATGCGCTACGTGTGTTTTTCATCTCTTCCCAGACCAGTGAATCTGCTTCTGGACAGAACCAGCACTGACATCACTTCCTTTCACACAATGGGTGATTGGCTGGAAAGCGCCAGGACATTGCCCTGTAAAGATGCATTCAGTGGGGTCAGCTACAGCTCCTGTGATACACTGGCCAAAACTTCAGCAGAGTAAGAGCCTTTCACTTTTTTGTATTATAAAACTAAAATCTAAACTACTGTTCAAAAGTTTGGAAGAATTACTTTTTTCTTTTAATGTTTCCGAAATAAGTCTCGGTTACACTTTATTTTAAGGTGTCCTTGTTACAGTGTAATTATACATTTAAGTACTGAGTAATATTAATTAATGCTGCATTTTTATTTGATTAAGAATACAGTTAAAACAGTAATTTTGTGAATATATTATTACAATAAAACATAATTGTTTTCTATATTAATATATTTTAAAATGCAATTTATTGCTGTGATGCAAAGTTGAATTTTCATCAGTCATTACTCCAGTCTTTAGTCTCAGAAATCATTCTAATATGATTATTTAGTGTTTAGCTATTATTAATGATTCTTAATATTATTAATGTTGAAAACAGTTTTTGCTGCTTAATATTTTTGTGAAAATCATTATATATATTTTTTTCAGGATTCCTTTATGAATGGAAAATTCAAAAGAACAGCATTTATTTGAAACATAATATTTTTGTAATATAAATGTCTTTACTGCCACATTTGATCAATTTAATACATTCTTCAAATATATTAGAAAACAATTATTTTAAGTTGTAATAATATTTCACAATATTATATTATACAATATAATGTTTTGCTGTATTTTTGATCAAATATGTGCAGCCTTGGTGTGCATTCTTTCAACAACATAAAAAAAAAACTTTTTGAATGGTAGTTTATTTGTGTGAACACTCATAAGTACAAACATACTTTTATTTATACTGTATATATCATCAGATTTGCAAAACAGTTAAACATAAAAATTCTCTCTTTTTTCCTTCAGTTTTGATCTTTTTAAAAAGCACTTTATTTGGTTTGAGAGGCAAAATTAAGGGGTTGCCCCTTTTTTGTTCATTCTTCTATTATAAGTGTTGATCCCTGTGCTGAAGGGTTGCATTCTGTACTTTTAAGTCCAAGGCAAAAGACAAGCAATATAATGTAAGGTTGTTGGCATAAAACAGTTTAAAACTGATGCAGAAGACGATGACAAATTTATTCACAGATCAGTTTCCAGTAAATGAAGCCCAGATTTGATGGATTTGAAATCCTTTAAAGGTGGCCATTACATTTGTTATTAATCTCCAGTGACAGTGGTTTAGTAATGTTTTCTTCTGTTGTAATCCAATAAATGGAAGAGAGGGGAAAAAAAAACTCTTGCCAAAAATAAAAGTGCTGTCCTTCCATAATCCCCAGTCTTGGAAGCAATCTAAGGGGTTGAGTTGGGCACATTCCCCCAAAGTCAATCAAATATCTAATAATAAAGATCCTGTTCTGCTCCTCAGTGTGGATCTGAATTTATGGGAAATGCTTTGTAGATGTTGATTAGGAACGTTGCATTGCCTGGTCAGCATCTCCTGAGTCCACTTTTTGATTCAAATTACGAGGTATTTGACGATGTAAATAATCTGACATTCATAACTTCTGAATGATCAAAGGGCCGATCTGGGAACAGTGGCAGTTCTGTGCAGCAGGTTACCCTCAGGACTAAACATCTAAACACTCAGCAGTCTGTAATTAAGGCTGCTTGTGGTTATATTTTGTTCAGATGTCAGCGTAAATAATCACATGCAAATAGCGGCCCTCATCCATGACCCAGATTGGGTTATTTAACATGCAGTTTGTCTCCCAGTGTTTGGCCTTCGGTAGTGAGTGGACACCACCACTCTTTGACCCACCACAGAATTAAATTAAAATATTTGTGAATTTTAAGAACAAATATGTTGAGTTTGTGCTTTAACTGCTGAAAAGACCAAGATCTCATTATACTGTATGTTGGGTTCTGGATGCTGCTTATGCTTAACAACTGTACTAACCTTCTGCTACCTCACTAGCTTAACCAGCAAAACCACCAACCAGATTCACCAGTGAGAGCATGCAAGATCAATCAGCTTCAATAAGTTTTGATGGTAAACAGCACCCATCAACTAAGCCAACATCAACCCATTACTAACCAGCCAAAGTGAAACCACACCGCTATAAACCACTACTAACCAGGCTAAAACCACCACCAAATCAGTCCTAGACAGTATAAAGTATATCAGCATCAAACCAGCATTCAATAACATAAACCAGAACCAAAGTAAAAGCACACCAACATTAACCACCACTAATCAGTACTAACCAGCGACAATTCAACACTAACAAGCATAAAAACCACAAAAAGTCAACACAGACCAGCATTACACCAGCATGGGAATTTGTATTGGTCTTTTCAGCAGTACTGCACCAATTTGAGAGACCTAGACAAATCTGTAGTCATAAAGATCGAAGTCTGCACCCTGAAAATTGCTTCATAAAATTGTTCAAACTTAAATAAGCCCTGTAAGCTATTGCAGTTTAATGGGTCTACCAGGAAGATGAAGAATAGCAAGAGAGAGGTCATTATTGATGATTCAGTCACTTATCACTTTACCTTGGTTGTGTGCCTCTATTTTTTGTTGTTGATGAAGCTATAGTAAGTTTACCAGATGTTTGGCCTCTTATTGCAATTTCATGGTAAACTGTGCAGAACGTTAGGCTCTTTAATCTATCATTGAAGGCTTTAGCTTATTTAGCACATAATCACATGCAAATAGCGGCCCTCATCCATGACCCAGATTGGGTTATTTAACATGCAGTTTGTCTCCCAGTGTTTGGCCTTCTGTAGTGAGTGGACACCACCACTCTTTGACCCACCACAGAATTAAATTAAAATATTTGTGAATTTTAAGAACAAATATGTTGAGTTTGTGCTTTAACTGCTGAAAAGACCAAGATCTCATTATACTGTATGTTGGGTTCTGGATGCTGCTTATGCTTAACAACTGTACTAACCTTCTGCTACCTCACTAGCTTAACCAGCAAAACCACCAACCAGATTCACCAGTGAGAGCATGCAAGATCAATCAGCTTCAATAAGTTTTGATGGTAAACAGCACCCATCAACTAAGCCAACATCAACCCATTACTAACCAGCCAAAGTGAAACCACACCGCTATAAACCACTACTAACCAGGCTAAAACCACCACCAAATCAGTCCTAGACAGTATAAAGTATATCAGCATCAAACCAGCATTCAATAACATAAACCAGAACCAAAGTAAAAGCACACCAACATTAACCACCACTAATCAGTACTAACCAGCGACAATTCAACACTAACAAGCATAAAAACCACAAAAAGTCAACACAGACCAGCATTACACCAGCATGGGAATTTGTATTGGTCTTTTCAGCAGTACTGCACCAATTTGAGAGACCTAGACAAATCTGTAGTCATAAAGATCGAAGTCTGCACCCTGAAAATTGCTTCATAAAATTGTTCAAACTTAAATAAGCCCTGTAAGCTATTGCAGTTTAATGGGTCTACCAGGAAGATGAAGAATAGCAAGAGAGAGGTCATTATTGATGATTCAGTCACTTATCACTTTACCTTGGTTGTGTGCCTCTATTTTTTGTTGTTGATGAAGCTATAGTAAGTTTACCAGATGTTTGGCCTCTTATTGCAATTTCATGGTAAACTGTGCAGAACGTTAGGCTCTTTAATCTATCATTGAAGGCTTTAGCTTATTTAGCACACGTCGCATTAGATTTAGACAAATCTGAATTGATACAGCAGGCAGCGTTCAGTGGTTATACCTTCTTGTGTCTTTTTGAGTTATTTCTGCAAAACAACATATTTTGTTTGAAAATGTTAAGTTAATAGAACTCAAGTGGCATTTTTTCATAGTACATAGTAAATAAGTTGTAAATTGCCATTTAAAACAAAGCTCCACTGAGGGATTCCTTACAAAAAATTATTTATTTTTTTCAAGTGTTCTACTAGAATACTTGAAAAAAAGAAACTAAAAAGGAGTGTCTACTTTTATGTACTTATCAAATATACTTAACAAATGTAAACTTAAGTATAATTGGTTTATACTGAGAAGTAAACATAAGAGTCAAAGTATATTTGGCCTATACTTGTGACTAATCTTTATAATTTAGTATTCTAAGTATGCTTGGCTTGTAGTTGTGTTTTGATAGAGTGGGGGAAAAAAGATTTTTTTTTTTTTTTTCACAAATATTGGCTTCTTTTAGGTACTCCAGGATATGTTGTACATTCTGATAAACTTCAAGTTTATAATAAGTAGTCAGCTTTGGGGTGAAATAGTTTAGAGTGAAATAGCACATGGGTGTACACAGTGTTCCTAACCCACACAGAAACAGATCGACATTTGGATAACTTTATCAATACATTTTGTAAAGTGTGATTAAACTATAAGTATGCTATTTAGTCCACTGAAAGAAAATTTACAAGTATACTTTAAGTATAAAAACTGTTAAACTGGTTTACTGAGCGAATACTTCAAAGTGTACTTTTTAAGTGAACTAGACATACAGTATACAGTAGGTAGTAAACTAACAGTATACCTATAGGTTTACTTGTAATATAGATCTCAGAATAGTTACAAAAGAAAGGAAGAACTTAGATGTAAACTAGTTGTATACTCATTGTCTACTACTGTTAGATTTATAAGTATAAACTATAAACTAAAAATTGGGACCAAATTAGCCCAATGCGTATTGAAATGTCACACAGAAATGTTGCAGGCCTGTCTTGATTGACATTTGAGCATTTGTTCAGCTGATGTCAGTGCATTAGCAGTGCTTTGACGATAAATAGACTGTCAGTTGATCTAAAGCTGTATTCTGCCCATAGAATCTATCTGACTGAAGTCAGACCAGCAGCCACGTGCCCTGAGTGGGAGCCGTCCATGGGAATTACAACACTTTAACGCGTATAGATTTTATGGTGGGTTCTGATCATAGCTTTTCTATTGCTGGCTGCTCCTTCAAGCTCTTGATTGCGCTCATGTCCACTTCTGGATTAAATCACTGCTGTACCTTCTTAGAAGTGTTGCTAACAGAACTCGTGCCTGAGGTGTGCATAGCCTAACCTAGATTGTAACTTAAATTTGCTTGCTACTAATATGCTATAATAATTTTTACTGCACAGCTTTTGCATCCCTAGATCTGACAGTACTAAGAAAAATGTTTTTGTTGTTGTTGTTGTTTTACATAAGCTCCTGAACTTGAGTTGCACTTTAAAGTGATTGGTTTGCCATATTTTTGCAATGTACAGTCGGATCTAATGGGAAGAAAAGGTGACTTAATATAAGTTTTTGTAAAACCTGAAATCCGCTGTACAAATTGCTGCAGTTTCCAGGTGAAATGTCGATTGAGTTGAATTATATTTTATACAGATGAGGCTTTAATAAGGTTAACAAGTCGAGCATGTCACCAAATAATATTCTAGTGACTTAAATACCACATACAGGAATGCATTTTTTCTTTAGCCTAATTAAATATAATTGTGGACCTAAAATTCAAGCTGAGAAGAGGCAACTACAGTACATTTTCCAGTGCATTTAAACCAGTAATTATGCATATAGGCCATTCTGTACATTTGTGCCCATTTACTGAGAGTCAAACCCATAAACTCAAGCTTAAGTAGGACTTAAAATAGATATACATTTGTTTCTGGATAGTTGGTACAAAATAAAAAAAATCTGTTTTAACTTTTGCCTGTCCTGCTAACATTTCCACTAGCCGGGCACAAATACTATAAACTGATAATTTGACAAAATATGTTATTGCGTAAAATAGATTATTATTATTATTATTGTTGTTGTTGTTTTTATGTGTTGTTATGTGGCATATTTAAAGTAGATAAATATGCAACAACACTATTTATTATTTTAACATATCCAAAAGTGTGAGGTTAGTTAGATTTGTTGAAGAAATTAATACATAATTATCTATTATTTTATTTAAATTCAATTGAAAGTGTCAATAAAAGGCATTTATAATATTACAAAAGTTTCAGTTTCAAATAAATGCTGTTCTTTTGAACTTTCTATTCATCAAAGAATCCTGAAAAAATGTACGGTTTCCAACATTGATGATAATAATAAAAGTTTCTTGAGCAGCAAATCAGCATATTAGAATGATTTCTGAAGGGTCATGTGACACTGAAGACTGGAGTAATGATGCTGAAAATTCAGCTTTGAAATCACAGGAATAATTTACATTTTACAATATATTCAAATAGAAAACAGTTATTTTAAATTGTAATAATATTTCACAATATTACTGATTTTACTGTATTTTAGATCAAATAAATGCAGGCTTGATGAGCATTAATCTTACCAACACCAAATGTGAACGATAATGTATATTCTAAGTCTTCTGAAGCCATGCAATAACTATTTGAACAGAACAAATTTTTACCCATTACTCCCTCATAACCCCATAAGCAGCGACAGTACCTGCAGCGACGCATTTTGCGCTGTGCAAAAACGCATGTAGAGTCACGTTTTTCCTATGAGACCAAGTCGGATATGTGCACACGGGATGAACTTATCCATATGGTAAGTCTGGAGAGTCTATTCACGATTGTAAATAATGCAAGTTTCTGTCAGCTGTTGCATGTATCTCATTAAATGAAAAATGTCGTTCTTTTTTCCCTCCGGGGTAACCCTGACAGTGCTGTTCCTTTCAAATTACAGTAGAAATAACCAACTCAGAAAATGAAGCAGCTACTCCAATTTCTCATCACAGTAAGCTGTAAATCATCCCAGTTTTTAAGTTATAACACAAAGTCTGTCACGAGTCCAGCTCCTCAACTTATTGTATGCATATGGCAGCATGGTGTCCTCCTGGAATACTTCATCCTACATGACTGACACAAGCGGTCTGAGGCAGAGCACTGCTGCGGGCTTGTCATTAATGTCACCGTATGTCAAACCGTGAGTGAGTGCTATATTACCCATGCTCACTGTCTCTCTCTCCTCTCTGACACACAGGGACTTCAAGAAAGTCGGTGTGACGATCGTTGGGCCTCAGAAGAAGATCGTGAGCAGCCTAACAACACTTGAAACACACTCAAAGAACGGTCCAGTTCCTGTGTAAAATTAAAAACGAGTGACGGAAATGAAAGACACTTATACGAGATTGATGCTGCTTTGGCTTTAACAGACAAGAAATAGATATTAAATGAAAATATGAAGTGGAACTACAGTTCTTGAACACATGTGCGATGCAGAACAACCTTCCTGGAGAAAGATCACGTCTTCCCGGGCACGAGGTGCAAAGGCGATGAGCGTGTCTTCCAGCGATTGACATGTTGCCTTATCGGCGAGAGAGGCGGATGAGCACGGGTCTCATGTTCAGGAGTCTACTGTCACGCTGCATGGCTTCTCCTAGAGGACAGAGGCCGGTCCGATCCGAATGGATTTAACGAAGAGCTCTTCACATGTGGCAGGGGAGCATTAAAAATCCTTCAGGAAAAAACTTTGCAAAAGCATCCGTCTTCCTTTTGGAAGGTAGCACTTCAGAGAGGCAATAGCTTGCACCCCAGAGTTTTGGTGGTTTCTTGTAGAAAAGCCCCCTTTATTAATTCTTCTGAAGTACGA